CTAACTGCAGACAGTACTGTTTCGGCCTTCTGGGCCTCATCAGTGCAGTGCTAATGCTAGGATGGAGGAGAACCAATATGGTCACCCCAAACGATCCAACCTTTGTGGTATCGTCTAAGCCATGCCAGAGTGCTCAAACTAGAGTACACTAGCGAGCATGCGCAATTGCAGAGCAATGACTCATCCTAGTTAGAGTGCTCAATTTGGACATGAAAGCAAAGCTTTGTATGCCAAAGAGCTATATCTAACTGCAGACAGTACTGTTTCGGCCTTCTGGGCCTCATCAGTGCAGTGCTAATGCTAGGATGGAGGAGAACCAATGTGGTCACCCCAAACGATCCAACCTTTGTGGTATCGTCTAAGCCATGCCAGAGTGCTCAAACTAGAGTACACTAGCGAGCATGCGCAATTGCAGAGCAATGACTCATCCTAGTTAGAGTGCTCAATTTGGACATGAAAGCAAAGCTTTGTATGCCAAAGAGCTATATCTAACTGCAGACAGTACTGTTTCGGCCTTCTGGGCCTCATCAGTGCAGTGCTAATGCTAGGATGGAGGAGAACCAATATGGTCACCCCAAACGATCCAACCTTTGTGGTATCGTCTAAGCCATGCCAGAGTGCTCAAACTAGAGTACACTAGCGAGCATGCGCAATTGCAGAGCAATGACTCATCCTAGTTAGAGTGCTCAATTTGGACATGAAAGCAAAGCTTTGTATGCCAAAGAGCTATATCTAACTGCAGACAGTACTGTTTCGGCCTTCTGGGCCTCATCAGTGCAGTGCTAATGCTAGGATGGAGGAGAACCAATGTGGTCACCCCAAACGATCCAACCTTTGTGGTATCGTCTAAGCCATGCCAGAGTGCTCAAACTAGAGTACACTAGCGAGCATGCGCAATTGCAGAGCAATGACTCATCCTAGTTAGAGTGCTCAATTTGGACATGAAAGCAAAGCTTTGTATGCCAAAGAGCTTGGCTTTGCCTTTTGGCTACCTTGCGATTGAGCACTCTACACTGGGGTTGCCATGCACTTAGCCTTCGGGCGAAGCTCATCACCTTAGCTGTGATTTGAGCACTCTCGCATGGCAACATGCCTGCACTTGGTCTCACAAGTGTAGCGCCCAGGCAATGGTTTATTCCAGAGCTTGGCCCAGTGTCTGCACTGCACTGACGAGACCCACATAGGTCGAAACAGTGTGCACTCTGTCTGCAGTTACATATATATATATATATAAAGCTTATTTGATTATAGCGTTTTGCATCTAAAGCTGGGGTGAGAAAAGCAGCATACAGAAGCTTTTTAATTGAAGAAACATCTCGTTTTCAAAATAAATATGAGATAAAAGCACGTGGGCCCTTTAACCTTTTACGCCATGATCGCATTGTTTAATTCTCCTCACTGTTTGTCATAGTTCGGAGTATTTGGTATTGTATCTATTAATAATCCACTAATAGATATATCTGTTTATTCTCATCACTTGTCTGCTTGATATTGTATTGATATTGTAAGGAGAAATTCTGTCTTGGTCACTTATGGGGGTACTTATTCTCTGCATTCTGACCGCGTAAAAAATATCTGATGCGTCCTGATTGTGGAAAAAAAAATAAAACAACATTTTGTGCTTGTGTGTTAACAGCCGTTCAGTGTCCTGCCTTGCCAGCAATTGCAAATGGAAATATATACCCCTCATATTGCACAACTACTGGCGAAAGTTACACACACATGTGTACGTACACTTGCAGCAGCGGTTACCAGCTCGCAGGGTTGGGGACTAGACGGTGCCTAAAGGACAAGAGCTGGAGCGGAGTGACACCGACTTGCAGTCTAAGTAAACTAAAAATTTCCTTTTTCGTGTTGTTTATTATTTTGTCTCCTCTGTTGGTCTGTTTTGTTTTCCTCAACTCAGAACAAAAGCTATCGAATATGCGTAAACTCGGACATTCTTTTCTACCTTAACCTTCAACATTCTACTTTTGCAAAGAAAAGAGGAAATAGAATATATACTAAGCTGGCTATTAATTTCTCTATTTATGTTTCTATGCAACTTGATGGAAAACGAAAAGGAGGAGAGCATTGTTTCTTATCAGCTCTTAATATTTAGCAATTATTCGCCGAAGGCGAGGTGAATATCGTCGAAAAATCCCCAAGACGAAGTCGAGGGGATTATTCGACAATATTCACCGAACCTGAGACGAATAATTGTTTTAGTAGAATTTCAGAGCTGAACAACAGAGAAATGTCTAAAATCATAACATTTTAGTAACATTTATTAACATTTTATTTTAACATTTTATCAACCGCGCGGAGCGGTTTATATAGCGTCATATAAGGAACCGCTCGACCAATCAGATTGCTGGAAACTCTTTGCTCAGCTCTGAAATTATACTAAGGTCAATTATAGACCCCATCATAGTCACCGTTCGGCAAATGTAACAACTTTTCAACCGCNGGCCCTCTGACTGCCCGAGTCGTGTAATAACAACACTGTTATTGTTATCGTCTTCGTTATTGTTATCATAATCGTCATCATTTTAATTTTCATTATCATTATCATTATCGTCTTCGTCGTCGTCATCTTTATTGTCATTGTCATTTCCACCGTAATCATCAGGTCTTGTCAGTGTCATTGCAATTTTCATTATCATTATTACCAGTAGTTTTGGGGTGGGTGGACATGTGAAAAAACACATGAAAGTATCATAGCAAGTGCGACATGGTAACTTCGTGTCACTGACGAAAAGCTGAGTGGTATTTTGCGACAAAATTTTTGCCCAAGCCCAGTTCGCAAAATTTGTATTTCCTGTCGTTGATAATTTTAGCTAATTTCATTTCTTATCTGAGGCAGTTTATTTCTGTTTCGGTCTTGCTTGGCTGGCTACAAAGAATTTCTTTACGATCAAGTATTGATCTTGATTTCAGTTGTAAGCAAGCCTTGGATCGAGTGTCCGGCTAACATAAGAAAAGTTTTAGCTCCAGGACAAGATACAGCTGTTGTTAGCGCTGAGTGGAAGTTACCCATCTCAAATTTGCAGGAAATAACAGTCAACCCGCCTGAAATCTCCAAAAATTACCCGTTCCCGCCTGGAACAACAAAAGTCGATTGGACAGTGTCTAACTCAGCAGGAACCGCCAGCTGTTCTATGTATGTTACTATCAGTGGTAAGTGAGTTAATGAACGAATGAATGAGGAGGTAGCATTAGAGAAGTGTAACAGCTTTAAAGATGTCACTCCATACCCGTGTGAAGCTTTTAACAAAGTTTGCTACTTTGATCTCGTGTTCAGATCTCTCTTATGCGTAAAAGTAGGTTTAAAACGAGGTAGCAAAGATCCAAAAGAATACAAATTTGCCAGAGGAAACGCGAGGAATCTCACGAATTTTTTTTTTATAGATGAAGAGCCTCCTAAAGTTATCAGCTGTCCCAGTGATATCTATGAAACTTCCGACGCACCTAAAAGTGTTTCTTGGATTGAGCCGACCTTCAATGACAATGTCAAGGTTATAAAGGTGGAAAGCCAATATAAAAGTGGACATGTTTTCCAGTTTGTCCCAACTAAAGTTGAATACAGAGCGTTCGACGCCGAAGGAAACACCGCAAAATGCGAGTTCACCGTGACACTCAAACGTAAGTTCTGTCCGATTTGTTTGGAGTCATTTTAAAAGGGTGGGCCTGAATGATGAGTAGGGTTACTGGGTTCCGTTCTCGGGGCAGAAACCTTACCATTTATTAATTACTTTAATTAATTTATTAATTAATTTATTTAATTAATTTATTAATTATTAATTTATTAATTAATTACCATTTCAAATTGAATCTTACCTACATGTGTCTCTCCTCCCACCGCACATGTTTTGTTGTAGCTTGAGCTTCAGAAAGAGGCTAATCATGGGGGAGAGAAAAGACAATAACTGAAGGTTCCTATTTCTCTTCTTGTACCGTGCGCGTACTATTCGCGCTGAAATAATGAAAATCTTTATAGTAATGAAAAGAAAACCAAAATGCGTTCAATAATTGTCAAAGAAAGGAAGGCATTGCATTGGCTCGCTTCGAAAGCGTTTATAGATGAAAATCAAAGCTTCTGCATTATTGACATATTGAACGTCCGCACATGAAACTAAAGTTCGACTGTCGAAGCTTTTTGTTTTGCATGAGCCAAACCGCCGTGTGACCTCTTGAAATTGAGACTACCATAAAAATTTATTTTTATCTTTAGTGCCGGATTGCCACGACCCTGATGGCCCCTTTGGTGGCAGCAAAACATGTTCTAAGGTGGGCCATACATCTTCCTTCTGCCAGATTCAGTGCCCCAGTGGAAGTAATCTGTACAAGCAACCACCTGACGTATACTTTTGGCAATGCAGAAATGGAGTCTGGAGCCCTTCTGCCACAATTCCTGATTGTGTCGGTGAGACAAGAGTTAGATGTTTTTCTTTTATTTGTTGCTAATGAGAGTTAAGGGATATTCATCAAATGCACCCGTCCAGAGCGAGAGTGTGGAGAGAAGGGGGACAGGGACGGGGACGGAGACGGGGACGGGGAAAGGAAGAGGAATAAGAGAAGGAGGAGAAGGAGGAAGAGGAGGACAGAACGGGGACGAGGACAGAATAAGGAGAACGAGGAGAAGGACGGGAAGGGGTTAAAGGACAAGGAGGAGAACGAGGATGTGGATTGGGACGAGGACGTGGACAGAAAAAGGGGGACGACGACGACGAAGAAGGGGAATGTACGATTATGAAGACGAGGAGGAGAAGGAGAAGAAGAAGGATGGGAAGGGGAAGGAAGAGTGGAGAACAAAGACGAGGACGAGGGCTGAATGAGGAGGAGGAACACAGAACGAGGAGGAGAAGGAGAAGAAGGAGAAGAAGAAGGATAGGAAGGGAAAGGAAGAGTGGAGAACAAAGACGAGGACGAGGGCTGAATGAGGAGGAGGAACACAGAACGAGGAGGGGAAGAAAGAAAGAACTTTGAACCGAGAACGAAAATTAGTTTTTACAGAGTCCTTGAGACCTGAAATCGCTTATCTGTAGGCATTAACTTCGAAGCAAAGAACGGGATGATTATTTTTCCCTTTATGATATAAAGTGCAATTTTAAGAAAAACTCCCTAGCCTTTGCATGTTTCCTTCTTATTTGATTATTTAGTATAGTGATCTGTTTTTATCTGGGGTCAAGATGGCTTTAATTCTCTTTCTCTTGTTCTTTCTCAAATGTTCTTTTAGATTAGCCATCAAATGGTGATGAATACATAGAAATTGAAAAAAAAGTAACAGGAAAGCCCAAGATAAGACAAAAGTCAACTTTGATGTTGGAAGTTGGGCGCAGTAGAGGGGGGAAGGATATATTTTCTATAAATTGTCATCGTTTAGTTTCAGAATCCTACTAAGTTAGACATACTATTTGTAGTGTCCTCGAAAAAAGACCCGAACAAGCCATGTGAAGAAGGTCGAATCGAAATGGATGTAACCGTGTTTTTCAAGAAGGAACTGCACTGTGGTGAGTTTACCAAAGTGATTGGGCCTAACCCTGGGGTAAAAGCTATCTGGGGAATGGGAGAGGGTATGAAAAAAATAGTCGTCCATCCACCATCTTCCCCCAATCTATGTAAGGGATGTCTTTGCCAACTTCTTTTACTTGGTAACCTTAGTAATTGGGTTGCATATTTACACGATTTAGCTTGCAATTATTTTAACAGGTATGGAGTACGTTTAAACGAAAAATTCGCGATAAAAACATCTCCGTATAGCTCATGTTTCAATTCAGATTTTACTTTATTGTTCTACAAGCAAAGTCTTCTGTCGATTGAAGCGGAGTGTAAATTGCTATCACTTTTTCAAATTACTTTTGAGTCGTGTGAAAGGTTAGAGTCATCGGCAGAAAAAGGGAGATGTTACTGAAAACTATTAAAACTCATAGGAATAGAAAACATTTTTGTTTTTGCTAACTGTTGTAGTTGCTTGACAAAAAGAAGCAACAGATCTGATAAGTACTGGTCTAGCTTCACTTTTGAAAAAGGGTCTCGCGTTATTGTGGTCGAATTGTAAAGAAATATGACTAACTGGAAGGAAAGTGATTTCAGTTCGAGTGAATCAGAATATTTTTGTAGTCATTCAGGGTTTGAGTTAAATGTATGTAGACGAAGTCAGCTTTGGTTCGAGTTATTGCGAGATTGGAGTAATTGACTGTTCGTCTTAAACTTTACATTTTATCAAACATTCCACAGCTAAATGTCCCACTGGCATGTATCAATCATCGAACACAAATTGCAGTCCATGTCCTGCTGGAACTTACAATGACCAGCAAGGACACAGACAGTGCACCCAAAAGTGTCCCGTAGGTACCTCCTCATTACCCGGAGCAAGATCCGCTGTTTACTGCAGAAGTGAGTTTGCTTCGATCGTAGATATAGTTATTGCGGCCAGATAATACGCATGCGCCGACTAAAAGAGAAAATTTAGTTTGTTTTTTGTATATATAAAAGTCACTTAGTGATGACTTTAGAGCACCAAAGGTATTAAACAGCAAAGACACTAAAGAGGTAGAAACATACTGCAAAAGAACTGGACCTGGTTATTCAAAGCTGGGTGAACTGAGAAAGAATTGACAGACAATTCATGACAATTGGTTTTCTCTACAACTTCATGATTGGATGCCCTGCAAAGAATAGAGAAAAATATCATAGAAGGGCTTTTGAACAAAAGGATAAAGGTATCCCAATTAAAATTTGACTCTGGGTTAGCGCTAATCAACCTTCCAAAAAAACTGGGCTCTGAAAATTAACAACTTCAACGTTTTTAGCTACATTTCTTTGACCTATCTTCTGATCGGCTGAATAAAATTCCCACTTGTTACGAATTTGCATGTGAGCTCAGGGAAATAGTATATACCAATTAAAAAAGTTAACAGCCTTACTATCCTTCAACCATTCAAACCACTATCACTATTTTACTAACTTAAGCGACCAACAGTGGCAAACAAACGCCCAGCACTCATATCGACATACATGCAGCGCAACCTGTAGAACTGCATTTTCGCAGTCGAAATACAAAAGTTTAACTTGCGACTGAATCTCGGTAAGTCTGTAAAGACAAAGCTATGCTGTACAAAATACATCCCTGCCCCTGTAAAAGGAAGGTCTTTGGCGAAAGTTTTAAGATTAACCTTGCCTTAACCTGGGGAATCAACCGCGCCGTGTGCCATGGTACTACAATGTTGCTAATTTTTATTACGTGGTCCCGCGAAAGTTCTTGACAGGTGAGGTGGGGAAGGTTTTGTTTTCATTTTAATAACCTACTGATTTCTGAATTATTCTAATTTTTACTTTCATTCCAGGCTTATGTCCGCCTGGAAGGTTCTCCTCGGATGGCCTGGGACCAAACTGTCTGAATTGTCCACCTGACACGTATCAGCACAAAGCGCAGCAGACTGATTGTATCGCGTGTCCCAACGGAACTAGCACTATCGCACCTGGCTCAAGTTCGCTTAATGATTGTGGAGGTTAGTTGTTTTTGCCTGCAAACGCCGTACTTTACCTGGCCAGATGGAACAGTTAAGGTCGTATTGATCGTTTATTTGAATTTCTGAGAGCGACACACACTCTTATAGAGAGAGGTCATTCCTGAAGTATCAACTATGCCATAAAATGCAACAGTTACTCTTTCGTCCTTTTGTAACTATCACTAGGGCAGTCGAGTACCATGTTCTTGGCCCCGCAAGATCTCGAAATTTTCTTTTGTACTGAACTTAGCTGAGCTAGAGCTCTAAATCGTGAACTCAAAATAGTTTGGTGAACCATAACCCTGGACTGGACTACGGTTCTAGGGAGTATTCAAAGGACTGTCGTTTTTTTATTCCGCAGTGTAAAGTACCATTACGCTATCAAAATGTTCATATTACCTTATTTATCAGTGACCAATTAACTCTACAGCAAAACCAAAAGTCTCTATGGCTCAGCAAGAGGTTACCATAAATGAAAAGGAAACCGTATCACTTGACTGTTTTGCACGCGAGAAGCCAACGCCCACATTCACATGGAAATTCTTGCGGAACATTCCTCGTAAGTAGCAAATCTTGTTTCTAGGATTTTGCATGCGTTCTGAAGCAGATGGACAAGAAAAAAATGGTAGGAAGCGTGGACTGTGTATCAGTTACCTGTTATTGATATATATACCTTATTATTTGTATCTAACACAGGCTTAATACATTGATGGTTCCCGAATTTTTCGTGTCGATAGTGACGGGAGATTCTTTGACCATATTGCCTTAGCCTTTTTACTTTGGATACTACAATTTTAGAAAGCTCTATATATTAGAAACGTCAGCTTTTGTAATCGTTACGGTGGCCAATTTACCACTTCAACTTTGTTGATATATCCAAATTAATATATAGAGACTCTATCCCAGTATCCAGAGTTACTTGCTGAAGGATGACGACCGAATATGCAACTGTAGAAATCCTGGTTACATGCCCTGAAATGGTCTCGTAATGGGGTTTGGTTGTGTTCTTATTGAAGGGGTTTAAAAGCTCTATTTCGCAAGATTCGTTAAGGCCTTCCACTTTCCTCCTCATTTTAAGAGAATCGAAAAATAATCATTTTCGAGCGCCCATTGCTCCTTGTGAGTGTTGAGTCAATATTTTATCGAGGTAGCAATTGGAAATAGGGGAGGCGTTTATGAATGGAACGTAAACAAAGAAAAAATCATTTGGGGGGAATAGGCTTGATAAAGAAACCTTCATTTTCAAAAGAATCTAAAAGGGTTTTTTTTTCAGTGGCATTCCTTGGAAAGATGTCACAAGGAAGCTTGAAAGATGCGAATGGAGCTGTGATTGGTTCACGTCTGACGATTACAGGAGCCACAGTCGAGAACACAGGGTCTTACGAGTGTACTGCGAGTAACACCCATGGCATTGATACGGGACTGTCAAAACTCACCGTCAAACCAGTCATAAATTATCCCGAAGGCTCTGGTGCTTAGATGATTTAAGGTAGGTTCCTTTCTTTAAAAATTCATTTGATGTTAAAAGAGGTGCGCAAACTTTGGCGCGACCTCACTTTCCGAGTTCACCTTATGATCTAATTGTTTCATTTTGATCACAGATCGAGAGGATTAATTCAGAAGTTCTTAGAGCTAGAGGATCCCAGATTAGACACAGAGATAAAAAGGACAACATGTGATTGCAGAAATAAAAAGAATCTACAATTCGATCGTCACACGAATCGTATCATTGCTTTAATTAGTGGCTGTGCACAGGGTGGGGTGGGTTGGGAGGGTTGTAGTGTTCACACTTTTTTCCGGAGCTGCAGATCTCCTTCTTGAAGTCAAAGCACCAGACATGCAAGAAAATACGTATATTTCAAGTCTAAAGGCATGTGTAAAAGACACTAATGACAATAAATGATAAATACTGCAACTAAAACTATGTCAATTTTGAAACATCGCATGAACTCAAGTTCCATAAGCTTTATTTGCAATCGCGCAATAATATTTCAGAAGCATGCTTGACTATCCTAATAACAAATAACTATTAGCAAAAAATTCCTCAAAGTTTAAGTATGTAACGCGATGAAAAACTAACTTAAGCGACTAGATGGCTGAACCCTCTAAGGTTTGATGTCAAACTCGCCGGCTTTGGCAAGCCACACATGCTTTTCTCCATCAATGCGATGACGGAATTCCCAAAGCACTGGAGTTCCCACAGTGCTAACACTGTCTGGAACTATCTGAAAATAACCACACCAAATAACGATGCGATAAATTGGCAACGAACTCGCTGGGAGAAAGAGGGAGATCTCTGAAGATTTAAGACTCGCCTAGAATACCACAAAAACAGACTTTGGGTTAAGAAGACAGATAAACCTTTGGGATCAAATTTCATACGGAACGCACCTCCAGCTATTTGCTAGGATCAACAAAGTCGATAGTGTCACGTGAGCGAACAGAATAAGGAAGGCAGCGTAGTATTGGCTAGACTTACCACAGAACTCTTTGCTGCCTAATAGTAGAGCGTCGGAGCGCGTTTGATTCTTCTCGAGGGAGTCAGATTTTTTCTTTGTCCCAGGCTCGTGAAAAGACGAATAACATAATTATCAAAAGTTAAAGTCCCATAGCTAAACGAACGCATTACCTTCTTACCTGAATGTTCAGCATTTTCCTACCAATTCCCAGACAGGCGCTGTACAATGGTAATTCCCGTGTCTGTCCTCCAGGTACTTCCTGCTTTGCACAACCCTTAACAGGCAGTTGCAATTCCTTGATGATGTCATAATGTAGTGTGACCATGTCACTTCCAGAATCCACCATAAACTTCACTCTTCGGTGTGGGACAGCGGCGGCGCCTTCATTCGGGTTATTCCGCGTTTCTTGCGGGTCACGGGCAAAAATGTCAGCTGTGAGACAAAGAAATTTACCAAACCTGTAAGGGAAGTTAAGATACCTACTCGTAACCCACACGGCATGAGGGCGAATATTTTTCTGCCCGTTTTGTTTTTTTTCTTTTTTTTTTTTTTTCTCTTTGTCTTCGCTTATTCCTCCCTTCACCTGGAGCCCCTACCAGGGTGAAATAGTAACACGTTCACGCCCTCAATTACTGATAAAAAGAGACCACTTTTCAGGAGGTACTCTAAGAGATAAACTTGTGACGTGATGTAAACTATGCATGTTCTCCACTCACTTTCCACCCCTCAACTGCTCGTGCTCTTCCCAGGCTCCCTCTGCCACCACTGTTCCGTATCCCAGCAAGCTCTGAGCTGAAAGAAACGAATCTAGCATAAGTTTCAAGTATGCCAGACCTGTGTTCACATTTCGTGACCACAAAACAATACTGTAAAGGGACCCTTTTCCTGGTAGCTATGGTAAAATGTTTTTCTAAGGTGTATACACGCGTTTGCAAAAATCTTGGCCACCTAAAAATCATGAATCATGAACGATGAGATCAAACGGCTTTCTGGGAAATCTTCACGCAGTTACTTTAGCAGTGCTTTCCTTTTTCCGTGGAAAATCTTTGTTCACGAGAATTCTTTTTTTTCAGGAAAGTGTGCATGGCTTCTATCGTTTACCATGTGCAACTAATTGAGCAACTTTTGTGGTTGTCATGCACATCGTAAGTGTACCCATAAAGCTGGCTGGGTATCATCGTTCATTGCGTACGCTCTATAGGTGTCAACGTTTCGTAATCGAGTGTTTTTTTGGTGGATTCATGACACTATGTTTTTACAGTTACACGAGTTTGGGGTCAGTAGAGATATAACATATTCTAGCAAGAGAAAATCAATTTATAATCTTTTGATCATAAGCTTTTATTATTTTAAAATGTCTTGAATTAGTTTCCTAATAATCGACCTTACCTTCCCTGAACACCCTCTTTTTGTGTCCTGGGAGGTTAAAAACCACGCTGTCCAGCGACCGTAGGCTCAGACCAGAGCATCGGGCCAGACTTTTCAATCCAGAGGCTTGGAACTGGTCATAATACTGACCAAGACCAAGAGAGTCCAGCCAAATTTTCACCAGTCTTACGTCTAAAAAAAAAACATTTTGTTTTATTTTTCGGATGGTAAATCTCTTTTCATCTCATCCCTTCCACCGCCGAGATCTGAAAGTAAATTCTCCTAATTCCATATCTATCATTGTTTGTTTGAGCAACAAATCTGATGTTATGCATTTATCAAGACCATATCACTAATCTGATGTTATCTTTTATTCTCACTACTACGTTACTGAATATGGTATTTAATGGAAATGTTATAGGAGCAATGCTACGTTCTAGGCTTCGATTCTTCGTTGAAGAAAAATGTTCTCACATTAGGGAAAACCAAAAAATGTGGGACAAGGAATCGCAAGGGGTTAACCCCAAGATCTAATTTTTAATTCTCCTTTTCGCTGCTTCACATTTTCCACAACGCCCGATAATACTCTCAACCAATTGACAGGTGTGTGTCAACTCAATTGATAATTTTTGTAGCTATCAGAGTCTTAGCAGCTAAACTGAGATACAGAGCTTAATTAGAAAATTTCTATTGTTTTCCTTTAATAACATTCTCTTGATCTGTAATTTATTCCTTTAGATCCGACAAAAAATTATGAAGGCCATCATCAGCTTAGTAAAGCAAAATAGGAAAGCTTATCAAAAATAGTTTGCAAAGAATGGAAAAGCAAGATGTTGGCGGTAGTGAATTTGTGAAATTTGCTGTTCATTTTTATTTACGTCGTGTTAAAAGTTGTAGGAAGTTTCTGAGCTTTTTTTCTGAGGATCCGTCAGCAAAATGAAGGACTTTTGAATGCAATAAAACTAATTGCATGAGTTATAGTCTGTTTATATTGTTTTGACATTTCGTGATGTCTCGATACAAACCATTGTTCAATAACACGTGTTTTACGCCTCAGCGCGTTGCAACATTTTCTTTCAGATAATGAACGCCGTGTATTCGTATAAATATCGATAAGTTTATTCCTTAGTAAATCACCAAGAATTTTAAAACATCGTGAATGCTTCATGTTGATCGAGCTCTGTTAAGCACACTCGATGTATTCACCTCTAATTACCGAGTTTTATCGACCAGCTTCTGTTGAAACTTCTGCTTCTGTTATATCTAGAGTAAGTTGGTCACGTGACCCCTCTCAAATTCATATGCGAGTCAATATTTGCATGAAGAAAGAGGTAGCACGTGTTTTTCGAAATAGACTTAGTGGACCAACTATTAACCTATTTTGCGAAGTTTGCAGTGGTTGAAGAAAATACGATATGAGAAAAACTCGAAAAGGAACTGGCACCACTCGATGCCAACTTGGGACCAACGAGAATGTTATCAATGGCAGCTTTTCCCCGTTTGTGTTTGTTCATTCATAAAACCTTTTTAATGATTTATCTTCGTCTAGTTAAGAGCCACTTTGTTTTGGTTTTTGTTTTTTTTCAAGGCTAAGTGTTGGAGAATTTAATCATTCTTTTGATCGTCGTTCCAGACTGACTCCATTCCTACTGACTTTGATGTAAAACGAGGAGTAGTTTAATTACCTTGATGCAATACTGTCTTAAACTTCATCTTTGATTCCTCGTCAGGAATTGCAACAGCGAGATCTTCGTCATCCATACTCAAGATATCGCTGATCTGGTTAAATCCGTGACTCTCCATTTTAAGGCAAATCTCTCGCAGTCCAACTGACTCCAAATAATTTCTCATACTACCCTCCAAAGACATTTTTGCGACGAGAAACTAAGATGTTAGCTGTGATGCAGATTTGAAAAGCTTCCAGTGACGAATGCCCTCGACAGCTCAATAAAACTATTCCGAACTTGTGATAACACCTTCCTTTAGAACTTAATTCTATTCTGTTGTTTTCAAACCTCTTAGTAAATTAATGACACCCAGTTGTCAGCCAATTCACACAAAACAATGTAGCCCAATTTTTTCATACACAACCATACACGACCAGAGGACGCTATCCTATCGTTACCTAGCAATGGTTTATTCTCAGTGAAGGAAGGTTTTCTCTTTATTCATTTAGCTTCTAGAACCTTATGGATACTGTACATGAGGCGGAGAAAAATTGTCAGTTTTTAACGCGAATATTGATTGAAGAAGAGCAAATTCTATGACTGAATGAGTCGATCAACCAGGACATTTGTAGAGTGAATAAAACTTGTCTTGAAAAAGCTTTGTCAATAAGCTCTTTCATGGATCTATTGAAAGCCGACGCACGTGTACTGTCACTCGTATAATTTATTGTACACACCAGCTGAGCAATTAAAACCAGTAAACTCCTTCATTTGGTGACGGAAGAGAAATATTAATTAATTCAGTATCCTGTAAAAAAAATTGTTTTCGCTATTGCTCACCTCCATATCCATACATGAGAAAAAATTAATTTACAAATGCGAATCAAACTTGGCTCTTCTTCTGTTATGAACTACTAAATTTAGAAATGTTTGGGAACAACTAAAACTAGGAATATTCTGGCAAAGTGTAGGCCCGTTAGATTATCTTGAGATCCTTGTGCGAGTCTTGTGAGCCTTGGTTTGTCATGTGTTGCGAGATCACATATTTATTTTTATCTTTTGAGTGATGCGTCCTTGACCGTTGTACAGCGGCTTAATTCTCGTACCATAATCGACATGGCTAGATGTGTTTGGGTTTGTCCTTGACCTTGGTTATAGAATATTTAAGAACGTGTACGTGGCGCTAAATTAGATAGTGACAGAGACTCAAAGAGTGAAAAAAAGTTACTGATCAGACTCCTGGTCCATCCCAGTTACGCGTGGTGCTCGAGCTAGTTTACCCCACCAGTCAAACACTTCCTAAAAAGCTTTGCTCGAAGTGTCGTTACGTCATGAAAATTTTTTGGTGAGATTTGCGAGAGCGTCGATGTCTTTTCCCGGTATCCTTCGCTCTCGGAGCCTTAGCTCTGGTAAGGTTGAATTTATTTGAGTTTATCTACCTCCGTATATTATGATTAAACAGTCGTTTTTTTTTTTTTTTGGCAGTTTTATTTTAGGCAGGGAAAACGCGACTTATCGTTTCGTCAGACAGCTGAGTTAATTCCACATCAAAATAATACCTAGATAAAAAAAATAACTGTCACAAAAAGAGCAGGAAGGAAATACTTAAAAGGCACCGAGGAAGGAAAATTTCATTAAGGTTCCTCATCTGAAAGGAAATTCTAAGGTAAACCTATCATTTTTACGGTAGTTTGCCGAGGAATGTGAATTTTACTAAGAAATAATCTTCAATAGAGAATTCAAGTATTTAATGAAATTACTTTACAGTTATTTTAAAATAAGAGAAAAATCGAGTTTCCAGATGGGATACTTTACAGTTATTTTTGATTTCTTGTGGCGTATTTGTGGACCCGAGAAACTCTACTTCCTATAGATGTTCGGTAAGCGCATTTCGTCGCGAGCACTTTAATTTTGCTCAATAGCAGCTGTTTTATTTATACAATAGATTTACACGTGGGTTCGCGCGGAACACGTGTTGCTTGCATTTTCGATGGCATCGTTTGGCGAGAGCGCAAACTCCTAAAAGACAGTTTTGGAGAGCATGACTACTGACGTTCGCAACGATCAGGGTTTATTTCGTTCAGGTAAAAGCTGACAAATGAATGAATACCCAAAAGTGGGATTCGCCAGTTTCTACGAGAAATCTAAATATTTAATGGTGTTAGTTTTACCCTAGCCTTTCGAAAAACTGTCTTCAGATGTGTTAACGACGAATGCCGCCATTTTGAATCCTGCTTAGTAACCTGGCCGCTAATTAGTGAGGAAAATGTCTCTCTTTCCTTCTTGACTTCTCCTGGCGATCTTGTCAAAAAATTAGGAGCTTCAAAATAAGGCATTTTCGATTTGGAAAATGTTTGTTTTCGTGATAACTTGAACAAAAAATGTTTTTGACCAGTGTGTTGGAGTTTCCACAAAGATAAGAGCTGCACATCTCTCCAAGGTAGTTTGAACAACACTTCGGTTGGACAGAATGCATTTCTTGTACAACAGACATAGCAGTAGTTTAGTTTAGTTTAATAGTTTAAAAAAATATATATTACATCGCAGCCAAGGGGCTGAATTGCATAATATTTTACAATGATCTACTACGTTATAATAGATACATACAGGAGTATAATACATACAGGAGTATAACACATACAGGAATATAATAAATAATTACAATTGTATCATAAACTATAAAAAGATAAAATATCACTAAGATCGAGTAATACTAGGCAGGCTTGATCAATCGAATATTCACACAGTGTTGTTTGCTAGTCGGCATATGCTCTGGATGAAGGACCGCTGAAAACGCTTGGTGTGCACGCCAGGGAAGTCGTACTTTCTAATTCTCTTTAGGTTATAATGGTTTTTATTATATGGCTGTGTCTCACAAGGACTGGGAACTAGCGAATTCATGAATTTGATTGGCTGAAATTAATATTGAAAGCGGTCTAGATTTTCCCATCTAGACCAGCATCTAGACTGGTCTAGAAAAAAAAGGTACATAGAATATAAAAAATTGGCATATAAGACATAGCCATATAATAAACATCTTATTAACCGAGCTAGGTCGGTCTGTATGGGAGAATCTTGACCTCGGTCGCTGGTACAGACCTCACTGCGTTCGGTCTGTACTGGTGACCTCGGTCAAGATTCTCCCATACAGACTCCCGCTCGGTTAATAAGAACTAAACATGATTGGTAGGAAATAAGTGAGATAGTTTGTGGCCATTAGAGATTGCATCAAACAGTTTAGAACACTGTTCCTCGCGCCGAGACTGCAAAGTGTCTAAATTATAGTTACTCAAGCATAGACTGTAAGAACAATATGGTAAGATGATACTTAACGCCCTTTTCTGTACTAGTTCGATATCAGTACTTAAATACTCGGGCAATGCGTAGTGAAAATCGGGTGAACAATATTCCAGGACAGGTCTAATAACAATGCAGTAAAAGTTGATTATATCACGAGGGTCCACTCCCGCTCTCCTAAGGAGAACCAGGAAATATAATCTCAGTCTTATTGGCTTTCTTGATAGCCTCAGATATATGATCATTGCCCGTGAGATCATTAGAGAGAGTCACACCCAAGACCTTGGCGGAGCTAACAACAGAGAGATCCTTCCCATTAACGGTTACAAGCTCGAAAGCATGCTTGTTCTTCTTAAAGTCGATGTTCATAACTTTACACTTATCGGCATTTAGGGTCATTCGTTGATCGTACGACCAGGTTTCAACAGCGTGAACAGCACTTTGGATGTTGCTCGACTCTCCTCGCGGCACGATCTCGGCTACAGTAGTGTCATTCACATATTTCCAGGAATGGAATCCACGGACCCTCGGGTCATTTATCATTAGGATAAATAACCAAGGGTCCAGTTTAGTGCCCTGCGGGACGCCAGCAGGGACAGGGCCCCATTCCGAGAAACAGTCCCTGGACAGCTTGACACTTTGCTGGCGATCTGTAAGAAAGTCAGCAACCCAGCAGGCGACACTCCTAGGAATAGAGAGACCGAAGACCTTACGCACGAGTAGGGTGTGGTCAATAAAGTCGAACGCCTTCCTATAATCAAATAGGACAACTTGCACGGCAGCTCCACTACCGTCAGTGGCATTGGACCAGTTGTGCACTATGGATATTGGGGCATGAAGGGTGGACGATTTTGGAATTCCTCCGTACTGGTCGGGGTCGATAACCTCCATCACAGCAGGGCTCGGAAATATGAAGACCAACCACAAAAACTTCCGCAATTTTAGACAGCGCCGGAGTCAGGGAGAAAGGGCGAAGATGTTTACTGATATCCTCAACAGTTTTACCTTTGGTATTGGGACAATATTGGCCACCTTCCATGCTGGCGGGAGACTGTTCTCGGCAAAACTGCAGTTCATGATCGAAGACACAGGATAAGGAAGAATGTCAGCATAATCCTTAAGGAGCCAATTAGGTATCTCATCCGGTCCAGCCGCCTTACGGGGGTTCAACTTTAGAAGCGCAGAAAAAATGGCAGACTCAGGAATAGTAAACAGCATGGATTCCGCCTCGAGGGTAGGAACAAACTGCAACCTCCGAAAAGACTCCAGAGGCTCGACAAACGAAGTGTTGATCATATTTGCGATGTTGTACTCAGAGAGGCCTTCAGTGCCTTCAATTTGTAAGCATGAAGTAATGCTGTCGTTATAAGTTGCAGGAGTCATTCCCGCAATTCGCTTGACGGAGTTCCACAACTGGCTTGGTTAGGTATGCTTTAGTTGGTTAACTTTTGAAGGGTAAAATAATCTTCCACAGAGTGCCTTACGTTTTCGGTTCACTGCGTTTCGACAGTAACGGAAAAGACTGACGTCTCCGTCGCTGAACGCCTTTTGCCGCAGCTTGACTAGCTTTTTAAACTCTGGAGAAACCCAGGGCGCGTCCCTTGCGTGGATCTTGGATTTTTTGACGGGCATGCTAATGTTCAATCCAGTCTTGACAACGTCCCTAAACAGTTGGAGTTTTGCTGCGCAACCCTGCGTGCGCTTTACAAGCGACCAGCCAATTCCACAAAAATAGCGACCGAGTTCGAGTTTCCTGCTGGCGCGCGCGTCGCGTCGCGGCGCGATATCTGCTTTCTCAAAGAGCCCTCTCTCTCAGGTCTCGTTTTAAGGCGCAATATGAAAACATTGTGATCAATTCCAAGAGTTAATGGCGAATTTCTTCGGAATTTCCTTAGTCCTCCGCGAGAGCCGCGCCGCGTCGGCTTGATCCGCGATAAACCAAGAGCTGTCAAGCGGCACCATAAGGCTGAAGAAAGTTTGCTTGTACATAAAGTTGGAAATGATCATGAAACTGGTTTAAGTCTCGCCGAATAATATTCTTTCACGGCGCCACATTTCTTTCTATAAAGATTCACGTCTTGCTTTTGCTTAGACAAGCAGAACCTTCAGCTGCTCTTTTTTAACCGTCCATGTGCTATTTATGCATCCTATCCATTTTGAAACAATTCTACCAAAGTTGTCCTCTTTTACTTTGCAGGTGCGCAACATGCGAAGGTAACTTACATCATTCGTTTCGGATTGCGAGTTTTTAATGATCAACAAACCTGATATGTCAAACTAAACGTTGTTGTCTGTTTGTTGTTTTTAAAATAAATAAAAATAAATAAACATCCACATAGGAGATTCATCATTCGTTTAGACTTCACTTTACTGTTTACATAGCTCATCAGTCCATTTTAGCGTAAGTAGTAATAGTACATGTCAACAACTACTTATTTTACCTTATCTATCGTCTCATAATATGCAATGCTCAGTGACAACAAGAGGAACACTGAATACATGGAACAAAAACGATCCAACCACAGAACTTAGAGATTACAAAGTAGTGATTGGTATAAACTCCACGTAAATATTTCCATTAAAAATGTTTTGTAAACATAATACAAACGATGCAGTCTCCAATCAAAAAGGGAAAAGTTTAACATCTTTAACTTTTTCATTCATAACTAATTAAATAGTTTTTTCGATTCATATCAAATTATATTTTAAGTGCTAATTCCCTTTTTCGGTAATGAGAAAACATTTCGATTTCGATCGACCATTTCTATGTGAAAAAACGGAAACAGTTCTAAAAGTGTTTAAAGACAGGAAAGGAAGCCAGTTTAGAGCCCTACCTAAAGTAACAAAACATTAAAATTTCGAATTATTTTTCTGTCAACTCGAAGATCATTTGAATGCTTTTGACCAAATAATGAGCTAAGGAGGTTTCGCCGCACGGCAAGTTTGCTCCCATTACGACAAGTTCGCCCTTTCAAAAACACCAAGTTTGCCTCTAAGTCTTTTCACTCATTGGATTCTCTTTTCGGTTAAACGTTTTTCCTCTCAGATCAAACCACTGAACAGCTCGATCAACATCCAAACTTTTTGCTTCGTAGGTACAGGCAGTTAAGCGATTTGCCTAAAAACTAAACTGACTCTTAGTGCTCCACGATCAACTTAAAGGTTTTTAAACTCGATGCTTGGATATCCGCCTCAATATTACGTTTATTTGGATGGCGTGATGGGATAACACCGAGCAGTTCTTTTCCACTAAGGAAGGGGGTGGGGGTAGGGGGGTGGATGGGGGGTAAACTCAGCGTGGTGGAGCGCGAACTCGTTAAAGGCAAACTTTCAATGAGGCGAAACCTCCTACTGACATTATTTCATGTAAGTGACTATCACATAAATCTCTATAACTTATCTGTTCTTTTCTCCTCTGCAGGCAACACAAACTAAACTACATTAAACAACATGCCCTCTGTTAATCTGACAAATTAGAAGCTTAACATATAAAATGCAAAAAATTTTAAACACTTGGATCAAGCGAGAACTAGAGCTGATTTTAGTTCTTAACAAATGCGTAGCAGCTGCCTTTCACTAAAATCTGTCCAACTCAGCTCAGGGTGAGCGGAGAGGAAAAAACAGCAACAAAATCAAAAATATGGTTTCCGCCGTCTGTTGTTTGAGAATGATATCATCAAAGGGAAGTACACCAGTTTAATGAAAAGAACCATTTATCTACCAGGTGCCGTTTTTTTTTTTCTTTTGGTGGAGCCTGCTGCGTAATTCTCTCCTGGAGTTTGTCAAAATTTGTCGCCAGACTCCTCGCGAGAGTCAAAGAACTTCGAACAATCAAGCCACGACTAGTTTGGATAAACAACGAACCTTATCCTTGTCTTAGTGTTCCCACAGCTCTAGTTTTTGTTTGATCAAGTTTTCAAATTAACTATTCTCCAAAAAATATTATCATACAGAAAAATAAACGTTTCATACAGTGAAAAGACTGTGTTAGACAGCGTGCAAGAATGCTTAAATTAAATGCCAGTAGGTACAATGGTGCTTTTTTTCCACAAAATCTCTCGTTTTCTGTGAATTCTACTGATACCACTTCACAGCATAAGTATCATTTTCGGAAAATCTCCGTCAAGAGACACGAACGCTATCCGACTCGTAACGTCCAATCAGAGGCTTGTGTCAGCTTCATGTCGGCTTCACGTCATTTAGTAAGGTCACGTTACCTAGCAACATACCTGTAACTAATGACGGTCTAGAAAACGTCTCATACCGCATAAAAGACGAGATTCGGCCAAAAACAAACTTATCATTTTCTTGTGCGACAAAAAAAATATAATACAACAATATTCCTTAGTTCATAAATTTAAATTTAGAATTAAGACGATTTCTATTATCCGGAAACATTGATATTCCTTGAACAAAAAGGGTACGAAATACCCTCTAAATAATATACAAACTTTTTTATGAAAAAAAAAAATTGACAATAATATTTTTTACAACTCAAACGTATGGTAGATCAGGATCAGTGGTTCAATCGCCTCGAGGTTTCTTCAAAGTGGTATCATAACGACGAATAAGCTCCGCCTGAAATAAATAGATAGAGGACACTGAGCTAACTTCGAAACTGTGCTTTCAATACACCAGGGACCAGTTGTTCAAAGGGCGGATAATGCTGTCCGACCGACACTAACCAGAGGATAAGTGTCACCGAGACGGGCTGTGTTATCCACTGGATAGGGAGGTATACAGCGCATAGCGTAATCCGTAATCCGTGATTCGTAAAGAGAAAAAAAAAAAAAAAACCTGTTTACCTGTCCCACTCGAGCATCCTCTTCTTGAGAAAAGGCAAATCCAACTACGACAAGAACAATGAAAAATGAAATCAAATTACAAGAAATACACAACTGATTCCGATTCGTTGTCGACGTACAAACTATTTGAAGTGAAACGAATACTTGGGGATGAAACTAGAGAAGCTTAGAGAGAGAGATAGGCAACAAAATCCCTTACGCGCCGAAGCACCACGGTCTTTTCTGTCCTCAAACGCTTCATTTCGTGACCATATTTGTCTGAAAGAAAGCAATGACCACATGAATATCAGGAAAAAATTGTACAAAAGAGGCAAACCAACAGAAAATTTTCCTTCCTCGCGTACAAATCAACTGTCAATACTTTCACTCCCAAGACCTCTGTATTCATTCCCTGAACTGTCTGTATATATTTCTTTTAAGGCAAGCACCGGGAATTTACCTGAAAATCGAGTAACATCCACAAGTGGATGTTTTCCTATATTCTTTTAAACGTTCTGCATGAAGTTGTACAGATGATTGGGGGGGGGGAACAACTTATCAGTCACTCGAAGCAGTGATGAAAAGGTTCAAAAAACAGGACAAAGTTACTTACGTGTTTATGGCATGATCTGACATAATTAAACGACTTGGATCTCCCTGCAAACAAACAGGAAAGAAAAGGAGGCTTAAACAAGGAACGTGCCCATGTAAACGTTATCAGTAATACTAGAATATCTACCAACGGATCTACAAAAGAACGAGAGATTATTCAAGACACGATTCACTTAGTTGTGTTGTGAGCTCATCACTTACGAAGATCGTAATTAAGCTCTGTACTGTGAAGTGTCGGCCTGTAAAGAACCTTAGTAAACGCGCATGGTGACTTCCACAAAATGACCCCGCAGTCAGCGCGCGCGAAGCATGTTCTCTTTTTCTAAGTTGCTTCTCTCGCACCTGAAGAGTCAATTCAAGTTTCTGTTTAACTCCCGGAAGAAAAAAAATTCTGCACTTACATGCTCAGCTTCAACTTCCTGAATTTCTTCTTTCAGAGTTTTGTAAAATGTTCTTCGAAATCTAAAGAAAACAAAATCAGTTCGCGCAAAGTTAGCGAACACAAGAACAGTTTTCGCTTAAGATCGTTAGAAAGAAAAAAAAAACAAAAAATTACTTACATTTTGTACAAGAAGTCCAACAGCAGTGTTATCATCGGTATGATAAACAGAGAAATCCAAAATACGATACAGGAGTACAGCATACGATCCTGGAACAAGTAAGTAGTGGACAGACATTAGACATCCATTTGAAACGAGACAATTAGTTTCCACTGTCTCCATTTTTTATTTGTATTTATGCACAATAGCATTTCACCCAGAAACCAACAGGAATACTATTTGATAGTTGGTGAGTTTCTTAAGCTAACGATTGGAGCGTAGGCCGTTATTCCACAGCTCTGACGAACGGCTAACTCTCGTAACGCTCAGCTCCCAACGTAACGCTCAGCTTTCGAAACTCTCTACAATGGTCAACTTACGTTATCAACTCAACCGAGCAAACCAAATTATCTTTAGTAACACCCCCTCCCCCACCGACGCAGCACCACGATACCTTCAGAAAGCTAACCCGTTTTTCGTATGTTAGTTCTCTGGATTGGTTGCCAAAAGAAAAAGATGCGAAAACAAAAAAAAACAAACAAAACAAAGAAACATCCATACCTGTCCAATCATGTGAGGAGCAATATAGAGGGCGATATCAGGAATACAGTAAATTAACAGGAAAATGAACCAGCTGGCGATACTGCCCCAAATGGCCACGTGACACAACTGCAGTTTAAGACAACTCTTGTAAGAAACGCTCATAAATTCATATCAAAGCAAATAAAACAAACAAAGCTAGCTAGCTCCACTAACCCAATTCCAGGTGTCCAGTTCCATTCCTGCTTTTATACAAACCGTGATGACGACTAGCTGTTGGGAAAAAAAAAAAGGGATGACTTAGGTATCGTTTAAAAGAAGAAACAATTTTTTTTTTTTCATAAAAATCGTTTGGTGTCTTTGAAAGATTGTTACTGATCTTTCGGTCGCCAACAATCACCAATAGGAAAACGTCAATTTCTGTGCGGCTCAGTAGTTCATGTGTACTTGTTAACTGAGTGGGAGGGTCGTAAAGGAATATATTTGCCTCAAGCTCATTAAAATCAACAAAATTCATTTTTAAGTTTGAGAATCGAAACACAGCGGTGTCTTGCTACGGCGCTTTCCTTTCTCATCGACAACGAGTAGCAGACCAAATTAAACTCACCGTGTATACAACATTTCCTAAGAACCACTCGCCCACAATAACTCCATCACTGAAAGGGGCTTCTGAAAGTCGAACAATGCAACGTGAGAATGTTTTGTATGCAGCAGAATGACTATTTTCTTTGGAGGAAAATTCAATCATTTTTGACTCCTAAGAAGCGAGGTAACACAAGTCAATACTCACCGTGTCTGAGCATAAAACAAGGAAGATAAAACAACAGCAAGGAATGGTAGACAGACGCCGCGATCCACATCCAAAATACCTACAAAAATACACAATCATTGGAGCGTTTTCCAGCCAGAAAAAAAAATATGGACAGAAACCGCAATTCTTAATTACTAAAACGTTGGGCCATTTTTGAGATTTCACATTCTTTCGTTGTCATTTCCTGTAAAAGGAAAACCTACCTCCTATACAAAACCCAGCTAATAATGCTCACCATAGATATTTAAAAACATCTAAAGGAGAACCCAAAGGTTCTTGGATTCCTTTCATGCAACGACTCTGCGTGCACTTACTCGTGCACTTCACGTGGAGGCGTATGCTAAGTTGCTACTATGCAACATCTCTGATAAAAACCGCTGTCTACACAAAACTCCCTATTGTAGTCCTAAGTAGTCTCCCTAAGTAGTCCGTTACCTTAGTGTTGTATATCTCGGCATTCTGTGACTCTTTGTATAACTTGGGGTATTTGAGCATGCTCTCTGACGTCACTGTCCGATCAAACAGGCCAATAGCCAATGGGGGAACTGAAGTGAAAACCTGAATTGCACAAATAATAAAAATGCACATGGTTATAAACATACAGGAAATATTCAATTTACAGTCGAAAAACACTAAGAACTACGTACATCGTTTTGCTTAACTTAGCTCTCCTCTTGGTTTAAATATTGGCACCACCCTTTCAATCAAATCAACTAAATCTAATCGTCATTTGAATTAGCGCATTTTCTATTCTGATTGGCTGATATCTATTAAACTTTGTTTTGATTGGCCATTGTGGTTACACGCAATCGATAAACGCTCTGGTAGCGGAGCCAACGTCTTTGTCAATACGTTCAGTCCAAATGAAAGAGCTCGCTGAAGGTTAACTATGTTCAGATTCCAACAAACAAAAACTTACCACATTGTAAATACCAATACACCACTTGTCGAACAGGATTTGGCCGGAAAATCCATTATCAAGCGCAAACCAAAGCTGTAAAGGAAGAGATGACATATTCAACAAAAAAAGTCATAAAGATTAAGGAATAGACCACTTTCATAAATGGCTGCCAGATTAATATTCTTTTGTTTAAATTTAAATTAGCCTTTCTGGCCTCGTTCTCCAGTACAAAATTCAAAAGAAAACATTATCTCAAGCGAGGCAAGAAAGGCTAATTTAAATTTCAACAAAAGAATATTAATCCAGCAGCCATTTATAAAAGTGGTCAATAAAAGCAGAAACTTGTCATCAAGAATTCACCAAATCTGTCAACGCAGCTTCAAGCGTGAGGAACTTCACGTGCGATCATGCGCGCATGCCTGCACACACCACGCCACGTTTGTTTATGCAAACACTATGTTCACTCCAATAAAAAAGAATCTCCCGTATATGGACACCAAGGGAACCGAGGAAAGTTCTCCCATCAAAGAATGAAATGCCATTTGAATTAATTGAACCGCAGTACAGGTGCTTAAGCCTACACTTCAAAAATGACATGAAAAGTCGACACCATTTCTAAAAGAAGTACATTCATAAGGAGTGAAGAATCCCAGTCAGCTGGACTCACCTCTATGACATACAGGCAGACATTTTTGTAGAAAGAGTAGAGAATAAGTTTGGCCAATCTTTGGTAACTCCATGCTCCATGGACAAACAACAGCTTGTTCAGGTAACGGAACTGAAAATATAACAGGAGTTAGTCACTATTCCATAGGTATTATCAACGATACTATAAAAACATAATCTTGGGTTACCTGTGCAATGGCGTAGTCTGAAGCGCTGGCAGCCTGCAGACCTTCAACTCCACTGATACCCACGCCGACATGGGCCGCCTGCAGAACCGCAACAAAAATACAATTGGATTGTTAGCTACCTTTACGCAACAACAACTATACTGTACAAAGCTGACTGTTGCAACCTGACCTAACACGTAAAACAAAATCCCTGCGCACGCATTTACATACAAAACCACCTACATCTCTCAGCCGTTACGTGAGCCACAACGCAACATTTTCCACCAATGGGAGGAACGGCGTCACGTTTCCTTACCTTGCGTGACAAGGGACTTGAGCTTTCATGATTTGAATACAGCAGTATTTCCATACCACCATGAAAATATGGATTTTCTAAGCGGACCTACGAATATTGTGTCCTTCTACCTTAGAGTTGGTCTTAAATCAATTCGAAACAGCAATTTCTGATAGAATGTCGGAAGTAATCCTTTTTTTTCATTAGTTTTGCTTCACCTCACTCTGTGATTGGTCTAGAAAACTTGCGTCATCCTCTCAACCAATCAGATGCAAAACTAACACAAATCACTTTGGTTTTGGTTAAACGATACTCAATAAAAATTCACTTTATCTGATTCAAGCGCACACAACTACTGGAAATAAACGTAAGCGTTGAAACATTTTACCTGAATCATGCCCACATCATTGGCTCCATCGCCAATAGCAAGAGTAATGGCATCCTTTACGTGCTGCTTTACGAGTCGGACAACTTGAGCCTTCTGTAGAGGAGACACTCTGTGCGTAGAATATACGAAAGAATCTGGTCAATGCAGTTTTCAATTAGTTATAAAGGCACATGCAATGTTGGAACTGTTTGCTTCGTTCCAACACGTACTGTGATTGGTTTATTTAGTTACGTCACATACTCAACCAATACGATGTAAAATCAGAACCAAATATATAATTATAAATATATAATTTTTCTCTAACCTGCAGCAGATGACAGCTTTACAACCGAGAGCAAGTTCTAAGAAACTCAACTTGAGTTCATCTGATAATCCATGCAACAAAGTCTAAAAGCACAGAACACCAAATTATCAATAAAAAGTTAGAACGTATTGACCAAAACCTGAGCATTTCACCACTGCTGAACATTTCCTTGTGCAAAAGTAAGGAAAAATTGTTACTGTATCAAGAAATCGCCCTCTAGCTAACACTTCAGTCAACTCTTCTAACCTTCATGTTATTTAATGAGTACCAAGATTTTGAGAAGTCACATACTGATCAACACTAGTATATAACGTTTAAGTCTGTACTTGAGCCAAGTGATCCATCCCGGCCAGACCTTATCTTGGTTTCCTTAGCATGAAGCGACTACG